CTATCTATCTATCTATCTATCTATCTATCTATCTATCTATCTATCTACCTAACTACCTACCCATCTATCCACACACCCTTCCATGATGTCAGGTACTAACATGGAGGAAGCTTTCTTCATCGCAATAAAAGACATAACAAAAAATTAATCTATTTTTGAATATTATTTTTTTTGTCATTTTCCATTTTGAATCTCTCCCTCCCCCTCTCCTACCCAGAAAGCTATCTTGTTTTTTAAAAAAGAAAAATAATTTAATAAAACTAAACAGTTTCTCCTGAGTCTGACAGTATCTGTCAAATTCTATCCTCTTAGCCCTTCTCCTCTCTCTTCTCTGCCTCCTCTTCCCCTTCTCCTACCTTCTTTCCCCTTTTTCCTGCCCATTATTGTCTAGATTTTTCCCCAGTTGTCTTTCTTTAGGTTTTTTTTCATTTTGATTAAGAAAAATAAATGATCCCTCTTCCTTAAGAGCTCCCTCCTCTCCTGTTCTAGCCTCTAGGCCTTAATGTTCAGGTGCTCTACCTCCCAGGTGCTGGTGATTCGACTTCGGGACAGTACGCTCAAGATGGGCGAGGAGCTGGAGAAAGCTGTGAACTCTGAGGCTGAGCAGAAGGAGTCCTGCCAGTATTACCAGAGGAGAATGGAAGAGATGAAAGCTGACACGGCAGAGCTGATGAAGCAGGAGGCAGAGACCAGCCGTCAGTGCCTCGATCTGGTAAGTAGAGACTGCTGTCTCCCAGGTCCTGCTAATGGGTGGTCACTGCTATATACATCCTCAACTCAAATATGCCAGACCCTAGGGAAACAAAGGCAAGAGTGAAACAAAAAAGTGCTTATAGTCTCCTTGGAATATGGGGAGATAACATGTCCCCAGTAACCACACATCCCCAGAACATACAGAGTCAGTCTGGAGAGGGAGGGCCCCAATAACTGGGGGAATCCAGAGAGGAATGATGATGCCAATGATGATGCCAATGGCTCTGAGGCCAGTAGACTTTGGGAACTTTAACACTTTCAATGTAAAAAGAGTGAGTGCCCTCAGTGGATGGAGATCTTGGTTCTAACTCATGCTCTGCTATTTATAGGCTGAGGCCCACAATGGCTAGATGACTCACCAAAGTCCCCCAAGTAATCATTGGCAGTCACTGAGGGCATTTTTCACCACCTTCCCATTTCTCACTAGTTTCCCTGGTTCTTACCAGAACTGAGTATGCTATGGCTCAGCCTGGTCCTCTACAAGGATTACTGACAGTTTGACAGACTGAGCCCATTGGTGTCTCATCTTAGGCTGCCTAATTTCCCCTCCCAAGTCCATCAGCTCTCAGTCCCACTAATATCCATAGCTCTCATGCTGGACTCAGACCCCTTGTCTTCTAGCGTGTAGGATCATTTTCTTTAGAGAAAATCAGCCAGTGTGCTAGAGATTGGCCCCAGGCCTCAGAACAACTGGTGACTTCCCTTCTTCACTCTGTCCGAGCTCTGGGTTTCCCAACAGGTCTATTACCAATTGGCCATAATATTTCACAGGCCACTGCTGAAGTCTCTCCTATGTCATTAAGGATGGTTTTATCTTTGACAAGCTCCTAGGTTGGTGATGGGGAGGAGGAGGGAGTATGGAAGGGGTTGGACTGCTCTTTGTGTGAGTTACTGGTCATAGCAGAGCGTTGAGGCCTTGTGAAGAGTCTGGGTGCCCCAAACTGAGACCTCATGGGCTCCCATGGTTGCCTGGGAAAGGCAGACAAGCTCTATTTCAGAGACATGAGCTTTGTAATAGGTCCAGGAAGGCTTGGCATCCCATGGATTAGGCCTGGCCTACTGGGCCCAAGCTGGCCTTGTGTCTTGGTGAGAGGTAAGTGTGAACTCAATCAACTAATCAATCAATCATTTATTAAGCATTTACTGTGTGTCAGGAAATAAGTACTCATTAAGAGCCTCTGCTGTGCCAGGTACAGGTGCTGAGAATATAAAGCTAGAAATATGAAACAAGAAACAGTCCCTGTTCTCAGGATGTTTACGCTGCATCATCAACCATGAAAAATAGTATAAAGGAATAAATAGGTAGTAATAGTGCCATTATCTGCCTTAGTCAAACCATATCTCGAGTATTTTGTCCAGTCTGGGATACAATTGAGGTAAGGAAGCCTTAGTATCATCCATCCATCTATCCATTAATCTGTCCATTCATCCTTCCAACCACCCATCCATCTATGCAAGGACCATGAAACATAGCATCCTGGAAGTATACTGATAATCTGAAGATCATTCAGAGAAGGGCAGTCAGGTTGGTGAAGGACTACAAGATCATATTGTATTTGGATCAAATGAAAGACCTGGGGATATTTAGCCTTGGAAGGAAAGGAATTCGTGAGTAGACCATAACTGTCTTCAGGTATTTGAAGGGCTGTCACAATGAAAAGAGGTTAGACTTGATCTGATTGTCCCCAGAGGGCTGACTAATGACTTAAAGTTGCAGAGAGGCAAATCTAGTTCTTATATAATGAAAAACTTGCTGATGATTGTTGTTGTTCAGTCATTTCAGTCGCACCTGACCCTTCATGACCCCATTTGGGGTTTGCTTGGCAGAGATACTGGAATGGTTTGCCATTTCCTTCTCTAAATTAATTTACAGGTGAGGAAACTGAGGCAAACAGAGGTGAAGTGATTTGCCCAAGGTCATACAGCTAGTAAGTGTCTGATGTCAGATTTGAACTCAGGAAGATGAGTCTTCCTGATTCTAGGCCTGGTGCTCTTTGTACTACGGTGCCAGCTAGTGGTCCCTCCTGATGATTGGAGATATACAAAAGTGGGAAACTGCCTTGGGGGGGGGTAGTACTTTTCTTGTTGTCATTACAGGCTTGCTATGCCTTTGCTGGATATGCTGTGGAGGGGATTCTTGTTCAGATATGTGTTGGACTAAGCGGCCAGTGAAGTCCATTAGAGCTCTGAGGTTGTATGATTCTAAAGAAATACTGACTGTGTACTCAATACCAGTGCCAGGCACCGGAAGGATAGGCAGGATTCAACCACAAAGAGATCAAAGAAAGAAGAAAAGGACACATATGTACAATTTTTTTTTACATTGGCAAAGGACTTGAAATTTAGATGGTGCCTATCAACTGAGGGATAGTTGAACAAATTATGGTATGTAAATGTAATGGGACACTGTTGTGCCATAAGAAATGATAAAGGGGATGGTGTCAGAGAAACCTGGGAAGACTTGTATGAACTGATGTGGAAAGTGAAGACATCAGAACTAGGAGAATAATTTACATAATAGCAACACCATTGTAAAGAGAAACAACTCTGAATGAGTTTAGAACTCTGATCAATGCGATGAGTAACCACAATTCAAGAGAAGCCATGTTGGGTTATGCTGCCCATCTCCTGACAGAGACGTGATGGACACAGAGTGCAGACTGGGACATATTCTTTGACTCAGTTAATTCAGAAATTAGTTTTGCTTGATGATGCATATTTGTTGTGAGGGTTTTGTCTTTCTTTATTCATGGGTATGGGGAGGCAGGAAGGAGAGAAAATAAATTTTTGTTCATTCAAAAATACAATTAATTTTTTAAAAAAGTTATCCACACATTCCTTTGCCTTTGAAGGGCTTATAGTCTAGTATAATGGCATACACACAGGATAACCAAATATGCATTTATTTAGCACCTACTATGTATCAGGCATGGTGCTAAGGCAGGGGGATACAAAGAAAGGCAAAAGACAGTGCCTACTCTCAAGGAACTCACAGTCTTAAGTTACATCCTAGGGAGAGAAGAGCTAGGATTTGAACTCAGGTCTTTTGTCTCTGAACTATGCTGATAAGCAGGTCTCCTGGGAGCTCCTAGTCTTGTTTTCTCCCATCCCCAGCATCTTCTCTAAAACTCCTAGGTCACAATCACTGTGTCCTTTTTCCCTGTCACAAGAGTCAGAGACAGGCTGCCCTGAGAAATCACCCTCCTTTAAAAGGCTGAGAAATATCACTGGGCCCTGGGATACAGTTTAGAAAAGAACAAAGGAGACAGATGTTGATGAATTTGTCCTCTTCCATTCCTGCCCACTCCTTCCCTGGCCAAGTACATTTGTCACTATTGGTTTGAGCTTTAAAGGCAGCATGTTGGTTCATGCGACTGATTTACGGATTGCTCCATGGTGCCACCCCATCCCCATCAAAATCCATTACCCCATCAATGCAACTTTCCTTCCTGGAAAAAGAAATAAGAAAGAAGCTATTTCTCCATTAATTTTAGTAAATGTACTTTTGCCAGTGACTCTACTTGCCATTAGGGGGGAAAGAAATATTCTGGTCTTAAATCATCCAGCCCCTTCATCATCTTGGTGCTGGGACATTTTGCCCTTGGACTAATTCGGTGTTCCTTTGAGAGCCCCAAGAATCCATTGTTTCTGCTCTTATCCTCTGCCCTACTCCCCTACCCCCACCCCAAGGTCTTGCTCAAGGTCACACATGCAGGGATCAGAAGAGCCAAGATCCCAACCCAGGCCCTCAGACTCCAAACCCAGCTCTCTTTTCATTGTGCCATGTTGTGATTCAACCCAAAGTTTAAGAGAATCTGAGAAACCCAGAGGACAATGGTGATGATGTGGAGTTGAGGGGGCATGGGCTTGAATCCTTTCTAGCTGTGTGATCATAGGAAAATCATTTATCATCTCTGAGCTTCAGTTTCCTAATCTGTCAAATGGGGATCATGATATCTGGAATACCCGCACTAGCCCCCCACCTCAAAGTGATGCTGTGAAGTTCTGATGAGACAGTATATGGAAGAATTGTTTCTGTCCTGACAATGAGATATAAATGTCAGCTCCGATGGCAATGAAAACTAGGGTGATGATTGAAACTGTGGTCTCATGGCAGAATGGGCAACTTGCTAGTCTCTGCCCAAGTGGAGAGGCAAAATGTATTATGATTAGAGCTATCCCAAAGTGGAATGGGCTGACTCAGGAGATAGAGTTGCTCATCACTGGAGGTATTCAAGAGGAGGCTAGGAATCCATTGATCAGTGATATTTTATCAATCAATCAATGGATGGACTTTTATTAAATGCCCAGTATGTTCTAGGCACTGTACTAGGCACTGGGTATACACAAACAATATATAAAGCAATCTCTTGGATTCTAGTGGGAGAGACAGTAAGGATATGCATAAGTGTACACAGAATAGATAGAAAGAGAATACATAAAACATGCTTCAGAGAAAGACAGCGAGATGAGGTCTGATGATTTGTGATTTGTGTATTTCGAGGATGGTGGCCAGGTTGCCTCCTCAGCCCCACTCACAGACTCTCTGGTGGGTCCCAGGAATCTTTCTAAAGTGAAGTGTTTGGGCCCCTGTTTCATTCTAGCACAATGATTATTTGATTCCCATTGGCTCTTGATCTCATGTCTTGGACTTTTTTTTTTTTTGGCTATAGATGGAAGGGACCTTAAAGGCCATCTAGTCTGACCTCTTCATTCCACAGAGGAGGAAACTGAGGCTGAGAGGGGTTGAGTCCCTCACTTGTTTTCACCCAGTTAGAAAATGTCAGAGCTGGGAGTGAGTCTCACTCTTCAGAGCCCAGGATGTTGTAATGTTTCGATGTTCTGCAACCTTGTTGTCTAGTTTGATCTAATTTTATAAGAAATTTTCTGGATCCATAAGGGAAAGTCAGGAGGCTCAGGTGGACTGCAGGTTGATGTCTAGAGTTTAGGACGTCTACC